TTACTCCTTAGGAGTATGCGAAACAACTGTGTAATGAGTACAAGGCGCTCACTAGGAAACCCATGTACTGCTTTTCTCTAGCTTGAAAACGAAATCATGAGCCGGCGGCCTTTAGCGGAAATTGAGAAGCTTCCCAAGATTGATCTGAACCGCACCAAGGCCATCCCGGATGAGTTACTTATACCGCAACAAACAGAAACGGCGTACGGAGACACTGACAAAGGTTTTGTTTACGACAGTCTGTATGTGGTTGCTAGATGTGTCCGTAGAAAACAGCTGTCAAGACTGCTTGGACCGACCTTTGAACCAGAACTGCAAGCACACACGGCTATTAAAACGGGTGTGGCTTTAAATATTCAATTCACGCGGGCAGAAATAGAATACACCGTGAATGTCTGGCCAAGATTGAAATCGGTCATCGTTTCTCGCAGTGACGATTTTAACTCAATCGTCGATATCGTCTGTTTCTTTATCCATAGTTGCATATAGGATTACCTGGAGAGAAGACCGGCGTGGATCTTTGATTTACTGAACTCAGTAACGTTTTAAACTCGAAATATCTGCCGTTTCGTAGCAAACTTCCTGAAACGATTTTACAAACCAAGGCATTCGTGCAGGTTTAAAACAAAGACGACCGTTGTTAGACCTGAGCAGTGGATCACGTTTCCAACTACAAACCATATTTCAGTAAAATCAAAACAGCCAATATCCAGTTTTCAGCGGCAATAAAAGACGTGCAAAAATTGAAAGCAGAATCTGTCAATCAACATCTTTGACGTCGAAGAAAGTGAGACACGGAAAAATCAGTATACGGTGTACCAGCTGCTATTTTTCAAAATCATCCAATAAAAAAGCGTTAATTTACTTTACTATGAGTTGCATTTCACATGGATCAAGCATTGTAGTCGCATGTGTCGCTCGTTGCATACTACGCACAACAGGGTACATGTTATCTGCAGGTATTTGCAATGTTTCCCACAGCAGGAAATCTGGACAAGAATGAAGGTTCGGGTTACTGTCAAGAAGTACAATCCCTTCAGAAATCCAATGAGGAAAAATAGTTCACAGTTTGAAAATTCAAACATAAAAGTTGCTCAGACTTTTCACATCGTATTTGACCTGGAGGCAATATTGAAAAAGTGGATGTGCTTCATCCTAATCCTAATCAATCTTTCACGAGGTGGAGCAGCAACATGTGCCATGCACTATCGGTTACAAAACCTGCTGTGCTGCTTATGATACCTTGTCATCGCCGTATTGAGACATCTGGCTCTTTGAGCAGCTTGTTTCAGAGTACAAGCAAATTATCAACATCAGATAGACCCCAACACGGATGATTCCGCTCTCGCCAATACATAAACAGCAGTACAAATCAGCTTTTTGTTGTCAAATTTGCGATAATTATTTAAAATCGCATAAAAAGAAGGTTAGGGACCATTGTCGCGTGATTAGGTGTTATTGCAGAGCCGCTCATGCCCGAATGTAACCTCAATTTCAAGGATATCGCCTTCATTCTCACATCATCTACGAGGGTATGATGGTCACTTTCTTATCACTGTGTTAAACTATCTATGGGTCAAACAACTCTTAACATCAATCGTAACCAAACTTAAAAGCATCCCCAATAATTTTGAAAATGCATGTCGCTCTCGGTTGGCCTCTTCCAGTTTATGCCAGCGCTACTGAAGGAAATGGCCAAAATGTGTCCTGTCTTTCATCATTTGGACAAGGATGATTCGGAATAAATAAGTTTGTTGAAGCCAGATTTATTCTTGCGAGCATATCGACTGCTGGTCGCGTTTTGATGAAACATCTTTTCATTCCAAAGATGCATTTATTCTAACTTAAATTTATCGAATATCACGGATGACGTGTACGATAGAACACTTTTGGTGTGACAAAACGTGGCTGCCAGACTCTCGGGAATTATCACGATGTGTATCTGAAAGCGGAAGTGCTACTACTCGCTTATGATTAACTTCACAATCTCTATGTCTGGGCTATGTCGCAGCCACTTCAATTGGCTGGTTTTCATTGGATCACAGCAGAGCAGTTATGCAGAAGTGGATGACCGGTTAGGTCGACGACGTTGGTTATTTCGTCGTGGTCGATCAGGTTATCCATCCCGATAACCTGCACGAGCTCCACGACGGTTGTCCATTCTGCACTGAAAACCTTCTTATCTCCAATGACACACTGTCTCTAGAGCAGTCAACGAAAAATGATGAGTTCGGTCTGGAAGAATCCAAAGTAAAATAAAACTTGTAACAAAACTCATGAACATATGAACATAAGTACATATTATATCATAGACAGCTAGATCTGTCTCTGAAACACGACCTGGTGCTTGATAAAGTTCATTGCGCTTTAATGTTTAATCAAGCATGGTGGATGTACCATTACATCAATTTCAACATTTAGAAGAAATTTACCGACGTCGACATATTCAACTTTGTAGGAAAGAGAATACTTGGAGGAATCAGTGAGATTACCCACAGGCACTTGATAGCCGGAAAAAATGCAAATATATCGAATACAATGTGCTTGATGAACTTGGCTTGATATAAATAGGCGATGTAAATAGGCTAGGTGGGGTTGGGGAAACCACTTTGTTTTTACTAAGCTAGACCGAAACTGTAGTATGTTTTTATATTCGCATCGTATTGAGGAGGTGATAACCAATTGTCTGACTAAACCTTATTTATAATGTCAACATAAACCTACTTCAATGGGTTCGTAACCGCTTTTTATATACTAATAAAATCTACACCATAATGTCGAGATTTATATGATAATTAAACGGTATTACTAGGCTAACTTGATTAGAAAGAAAAACGTTGCTTCTGGTTGGTGACTGGATGTGTGATACAAAATCTAACTATGTTGTTTTAACAGTAATGATACTGGTTTTCTGTTCAGGCTTTGTGACTTTATAGATTACGTTGCCACAATAAACTAATGATATATCCCATGTCAACTGTACATATCAAATGTGAACACCTATAAATGTGAACACCTATAAATGACTAATATAACAGAAAAAAGAACCATTACAACTATAATCCGACAAAAATAAACATTCAGGTTCGCATGGAATTTCATTAATTCATTTATATTATATAATATTTTTAAGTTACAAATTTTGTTGTTATTTGTTATTTCAATACTATTTGTATTATTATTATTATTTTTATTATTATTATTATTATTATTATTATTATTATTATTATTATTATTATTGTTATTATTGTTGTTGTTGTTATTGTTGTTGTTGTTTTTGTTGTTGTTTGAAAGAAGAATCTTTCAAAGATGTCTAACTTTGGTCTATACGCAAAGAACACTTGATGAGGCTCACCTGAAGTCGACGTTTTCCCTGTTCCCAATGACTTCCGATAGCCTTTATTTATCTGAAGACCACACACTTACAAAATTCCAATCCATAATGCATTGGTTTTCTTGCTTCATGACCCAAATACCGTGCACATCTATCTCAAATTACAAAATAATTATACCTGAAAATTTCAATTTAATTCCTGATGTTAGGACGGTTCATTACTAATCCATTCCGTCATAAAGTACCGTGAATACTGCAAATTTATGATGTATTATCAGGTTAGTATATCGTGATTTCAAAACAGTATATCAATATCTTGAATTAGTAAATAGCGATCTTCTGTTAGTAAATCAATATGTCTGATTACTAAATAGAGATCCCGATTAGGAAAATGTAAATTGTGTCCATTCAATGCATACGTGTTGAGGTGATATTTGACGCTACTTTTGAAAGACCAGAACGTCCAATGTTAAATTTAATAAAAATTAAAAATGTAATTTAGCACGAAAGTAGATGAAAGCATATGGTATTCCAGACACATTCCATAGTGAAAGACAAGCAATACAAACTATAAATGTAAACAACAGGAAAAATTTTGAAAAGCTGATTAGAAACTCGCGTTTATTGGGGTTACTGTCGAGTTATTAGTTTCGCATATAACTGCCTCACACTTCCGGTGTTTCTAAATTATACCATTCATCTTACTTTTTATCCACATCCGCTAAAAACAAAATTAATTAAAAAATGAAATCGGGATATCTAGATTGCAAATAGCATGTACATAGCATGCAAAGCGAAAATCTCATATATGTAACTTCTCTTTTAAGGCTGTAATGGGGGCAGGAGAGTGTCCCAGTTGTTTAAGGCGTTAGCCTTTTCAGCTGATCCACATCTCAACTTTGCCCACGTGGGTTCGAGTCTCAGACTCAGCCAGTGTGGAAATGTGAGAAAGCTTGCCAGTTAGCTTCTCAAGTCGGTGGTTCCTACTGGGATTTTTCAGGGCTCTCTCCACTAGATGTACCGGCGGCCATATATGTGCTGATAAATGAAGTTAATCCGAACATAAAAATATATATGTAATAACGTACAACGATAATAAACAATAATACTGACACAGACAATAATAACCCATAACAATAACGTCAATACAAAGTAAAATAGGCAGAAAGCTCTGACATAGATGCCTAAAGGGATGTGCAATTAGTTTTAAAGAGTTTGCATTGTTAATGTACAAAGAAAAAAAAATATCGCTTGAAAAACACTTTGTGTTTATATTAAATGTTGTATATGGGTTGTATTATACGAAGGATTTTTAACTCCATTTCTCTTAGATCCTGCTAATCTATACAAATGAAAGATTCGTGCTCTTCGTCTTCTACGAACGCCAAATAATAAATATAACACAAACGATATGAACTAGTAAAACCATCATTTCTACCAGTCGCTATATAACGTTTATGACTAGGATAAATGTATCTCGAAAGTTTGTACATCTGACATACAAAAACAAAATAATTTTAGTCATATCTCCACGATATCTGCAGACATGTTGTATCACGTCATTCCCAGACAAATTATGGATCCACCAGGCCGGACAACCCTACCACTAACCTATTAATGCTGAAAGCCAAGCGAGGTAGCTGCTAGTATCATTTTATAGGACTTTTGTAAGACTCGGCCGAGATTCGAACCTGCGACTTTCTGAATCCGAGGCAGACGCTATAACCACTAGGCCACCTGTGAAAAGATACTTCTCAACATTTAATAGTGCTTATAACTTTTGATAATATCAAGATTTTCACGACTGTCAGTTTAGACATGGACAATACTTCACTTTTCTAAGAGAATGTTGTTACAAATATATTAGCGTTTGCAACATCTTGCAATATCCATACAAAGCCAAATTCATAGAAAATATGTACGACATGACATGTGATACCCAAATCACACATCCGTTGTACGCTGATGATTTACGAATTGCGTAGCATTCTGCATGGTATATGCTCCTATCCATATGTAACAATTTAATCCTATATTTAACACATCTAGAGTAACAAGCAAGATAAAACTTTAGTATGCTACATTCTCTGTAGATAACACAAATACAGTCATATCGGCAGGGATCTCAGACATATATGTCTAAAGGGTTGTGAAGTTAGTGAACATTTTGCTACAACTTCCATTGATGCATAAATTAGTTTGTACGGCCACATATAAGGATAAATTGTATAAATAATTGCCTACACCCATATAGAAGGCTAAAATTCACTAAAATATACTAAGCGATTATGGTGGAGATCCCCTAGGTAAGCTGTGGATACTAGCATTATATAAAATGTTAAAATATATTCATTTAGAAATCAATACATGTAAAACACACATAGCAAAGACTTAAAATGGTATAATGTTGAAACGAAGAATATCGGAGATCACCACGAAATAATACCATCCGTTTTTAGTTGTTTGTATATATTTGACGAGACAGTGATAGTAACAATAACCATTCAATTCATGTTTTTAAAAAATCGTTAATAATTGTTTTTGTAATATATAAAATCAAGAATTAAAACTCTTACTTAAACTGCGTTGCATAATATTAAAAAAAAAACATTGAAGTACCAATGACTGATAAAAGTACAAAGAAATTTGACATTTTTACTGAACATTGGCCAGTTTCAGTCAGGGTAGACATAGGATCACGAAATGGTTTATTTTGTTATAATTTATTAAAGAATCAAATAAACTCAGATAGCTATAAAATAGTGAAGAAGCCTTCTCAGAACATAAAAATATCTCACCTTGTCGAAACATTACAATATTCAACCTTTTTAACATTTTAACACAATTTTATCTTTTCAAATTGCAATAACATGCAATCACGAATCTGGTCTCTTTAGGGTTGAGAATATTCCAACTAAGTTCGCTGATTAGAAATACAACTTATGGATTCGTTTCCGTTTTCCAACATCAGAAAAAATCAATCAAGCTAATAATGTAATTTTGGCGATGCCTAAAAAAGATACTCCTTCCATGTCACTTGTCACATGTCAAACTGCCATGGAAATGTACATTAAGGGACTGACACCTGTCTATTATCTCTGAGATCCTTTGTATAAGGCTGGCTGGCTGGATGAGACAAATAAAATCGGTTCTATATAAACTCTATAAAACCTTTTCTTCGTGCTTGAAACCAGCAGGCAACAGAATAAATCTGATCGAATGGTGGTAACGTGCAAATTTCATAACTCTCGTTATGACTGGGCAGCCAAGCTGTGCATTGAAATAACTGACAGGTCTGGTGATAATAGTAAGAAGTATTTATTTTGATGATGTAATGATTCTCTAAGAGTTTAGTTTTTATATGGCATGAAGGTAAGATATAGAAGTAAATATATGTATACTGGAATATTTAGATTATCACTATGGTTCCAATTAGTGTTCCTCTCCAATACGACTGCTTCGTTTTCCTTTTTATTGGAAGCTCGCTATAAAACGTATCCTATATTCAAGAAAACATCTTCATAAGAAAGCGATAAATCAAAGAAAATGTATGCCGATATATGTGCTACCTGATCAAATATTGATTTCGATTTGAATAATTTTATTGATGATCGTTTATTACTGATATATGAACAAATATACTTTCAAAATCTAGCCGTTAATATTCTGAGCCGACATTAATCTTTCTTTCAGAAACTAACCACCACGTTCTCAGATTGATGGAAATGACGATGACTCGTGAGTTCTTATCTTAATTTGCATTTGGGTTTCTGCTTTAATTTGGTGCAGTTGGTGTTTGTTTAAAACAACATTACGATTTTAATGAAAGAGTTTCAGTGCGCAAATTTACGAACACATTGGGGAGACTCTTCTGTTAAATCCTTTTATTGAAATGACAAAACAAAAAAAAAGCTGCTCAGCAATCCATCCTGCCAATTTGTAGTGTGATTAGCAAACTGAGTGCACTTAATTTTTTTGGAAAGCAGAAATTGTGCTCTTATGGATTTGTTTCTTTAATTTTTTTTATTACTCAAATAAAAGTTTTATATCGAACCAAAGTTGCAGCCGGTTTTGTTTGAAATGTTTCTTTTTTAATCAAACAGACATTTATAATTACACTTAAAACTCACCAAAATTACACATCTTTATACAAAACAAAATTAAATGACTAATATAAATTTTCAATAATCAGAATATATGCCACTGAATCAATTTCGATGACCCCTTGTTTAACAAAGAAAAATGAACAAATTTAAGATTTATTCAGTCGTGAAAATATACCTTTCCGGTTCTATGTATTTTGTCTGGCTCTTACCATTTGAGTTGACATTCGCATTTAAAATAATTGATTCACCCTGGAAAATACTTGTGTTCACAAAGATTCTTGGAAAAAGATATTCAGTGTAAATTATTTGGAATTCTACATCCAAAAGTTATCATTAATTCATTAAAGGAACTGTAGATACATCAGCACAAGACAGATTATATAAGACGCCATCGCCTTCCATATTGGAACTTCACATTGTTTCGAACTTGATTTTTTAGAACTTTTTAGCAATAGGACTTTAGATTCCAGGATTAATATTTGGATTATATTAACAAACTAAGTCCTTTGCACATTTTTTACCTTTTATCTACCGCAATCAATTTTGTTAAAATTTACAATGCTTGTTGTCTTCACTCTTTTCGTTCCTTACTTTTGAACCAATGCTTGAATTATGATTTTGTCTGATGTGTGTGAGATTAGTTACTAAGGACGTATTTATATATCAGAGCATGGATATTTGAATATTTGTGTACTTTGTATAAATTGTAAGGTAAAGATATGTGTCTGATTATTCTGATATTCTTTAGTATAAAGGGTTTAGGAATATGTATTGATGTGACGGAATTTATTGATGTAGGTATGAGAAGTAATTTTTTACCGAGCTGTATTATAACGTTTGTTGTACCATGCAAGAACGTATGTGAACGAACCGAAACAATTTAATAGACGTTATATGACGATAGGCTGTATGTAGTGTTAGATGACAGAGATTAGGAAAAAGACAGGGCTAAGGAGGAAGATTTTATGGGGAGAGAGAACTTGGGTCCCGAGTCTTCAAGAGTTGGAGACAGGATTGAAGCTGTAGCCGAGACAGTCGAGGTCGACAGAAGAGTAGTCGTGGTAAAGAAAGTGGAGGAGGAGGCGAAGGAGGAGGAGTCTAGAGAAAGTCGAGGAGGAGGAAACATTTGAAGAAAACTAGAGAGGAGAATGAATTGGGAGAAATAAATGAGAAAAGGGATGCAATGGATAAGTAGAAACACAAGGACAGATGGGCATCAATCTCACACTGCTAATCTAATGATTAATAGGCTTATAAAAGAGTCCCTCTGAATGAGTGTAATTGGAAATTTAAGTTGTTTGATTATTGAATTGTTATTAAATTCTTATTTATTTAATTTCAACTTATGTATATTTAACAGCTTGACCGTCGGCATTGCTGACTGGAGGCTCAAAGCTTTACATGTGTCTTTCACTAAATTTAACTTCCAACAAATATAGACTTGGTAAGACTTTTAAAATAATTTAAATAAAACACTGAAAGCACCCCACCACAACCACAACCATCTTCACATAGTCCTATTCAACCCCACCACAACCACAACCACAACAATCCCCACACAGTACTATTCGAAACCCAAATCCATATTTCACCCATACCTTAAAGAAAAAGAAAGACGTCTTAGAGAGAATAAAGACGGAGAAAGGATGAGTAAGGAATGGACTGGATGTGAAGTCTACAATTATCTCTCTCAGATACAGGAAAATTCTTTCAGACCTTTGAAATCAATGACGAAATATTCGACCTTTTCGTTGGCGACGTATGAATGTGTGCAAGTTCTGTGCAATGTTTCTTTTAATGTCGGAGTGATATTCTCTGCTGGTTGCCAGAATGGCATGGGTCCATCGGTCCACTTTACCAAGTAATGTTTTTTGTTTCCGGAACTCCATTTAGATTTTAAAAGTTATTCAGTTGAGTACCAGTCTGTGTGATTATCATCAGTAATTGTGTGTCTAGTGCTCGTTCTATTTTGTATTGCCCATTTGGCTGAGGGACTGTATCGACTCCATCCGATGTTGGAGTCTGATTATCCTGAGGATGTTTGTAATGTTTAAGCCTATTGTCATGTGCATCTGTCTTCATTTCCATATTGTCGGAACAGCGACGCAAATTGTAATTGTTATTCGGACTCATGCATATCATGTAAAATGGACGGATGGTCTACGAGAGAATAAAGAAGTACAAAAGATGTGTAAGGACTGGACTGGATGTGAGGACTACATCACGAGGCTCATGCAAGTCAGTATCAACGGCCAATTATTTTGTTTTTTATGTGTTTGTTGTAGAATGCTCAGAATCCGTACACTCACGTACTTTTAGACGCTCGCAAGCTGTATTTGTATTAGGTGGTATGAACTGGTGTGTTGACAAGTTAAATGAGATAGTTGGCATTGACCGAGGACAATTTTTGCAATAAAGTTTTGTCCATGATCAGTGTTTGCTGAGCACCATAACGTGTTAATATTTATTTCATTGTACAGGACATTGGGTGTCTTAGAATGCAGCGGAAATGCTTCACAACAATATGACAAACTGTCTGTAACCAATAGCATATACTTGTGTCCTTGCTTGCTTTTTGGTATACACAAAATGTCCATGTGTCACCGACAAAATGTCTTCAGAAGGCAATGG